TTAGTCCTTAAAGAAGTCTTTCTTCTACAAGTCTTTCGTGTTGTTCCTTAGAAGTCTTTCTTCTACAAGTCTTTCGTGTTGTTCCTTAGAAGTCTTTCTTCTACAAGTGCCGGGACTCTGTATGAGTCTGTTCCTTCTTGTGGCCTCCTTTCGGATTCTGCTTGAATCTGCTCGATTCGGGCCGCACTTAACTTCAATTTCTCTCTTTTTCGACTCTCTGCTCGACTCTGCTCGACTGTCCCCAACACCCTTTCATACAAAGTTTATATATCCTGATTTACATAACTTAAATAAACAAACGCAAGAATGTGAAACTTCTATGCTTAATTGCTCTAATGTAATGTAAGGTATTTCATCACACCAGGTCTCTCAACTTCCTCATCCACTTAAGCATGTTAAGTCCTGGGAAATGCTTCGTGGGAGGTTTAAAATCAAGGAAGTCAAACTACATGCTCATGCCATGTAATGTTTGAAGCAAAAAAAACTACATGACAAAGTGTTTTGATTTTAGACCCCAGCGAAGAACTCCTTGGCCTTAACATGCTTGAGCAGCGTTAAAGATTAAAGTGCAAAGTTAAAGTGCAACTGAACCCTAGTAGAAAGTCGTTTCATTGCAAAGAGAACATGCTGCTAAGCACTTCTGCAAAGGAAGAAAACTTTCGAATTTATATCTTCTGATTTAGAAATATTTGCAAATCGGAAATGCAAATTATGTGACGTCTACTAAGGAATGATTTAATATGCAAAATCACGAAAAAAAGTACAGTACCCTTTTTTTATACTGGAGATGACATTTCCAGTTTTTGAATATCACTGTTATTGATGATTTGACCATTTCAACCGAACACAAGATATCCCAAACAATGAAAAACCTCCAGCCCAATTCCTTGATTGACGTCACTTCATTAGCATTTTCAATTTTCAAATGCCTTTAACTCAGAAAATATAATTCAAACAACTTTGGGAGACGATCACGATGTGAAGCTGAGTGTGTTTATAAGAACGACTTCTTCACACCAGGACCAACACAAACTCCACATCAGGCACGCAACGACACCTTCAAGAACATACCAACTACAACAAATTCATATCAGCCATCGACGACAACAAACCTGCACTCGAGACGCTTTTTTACCGATAATCACTTGCGTCCGTCATGCAAAGATAGTTTCATCAAGATTCCTTAAATAATAGCGAAGTTATATATAAAAGAATATAGGTATAATACATGTACATCATGTGCGGACGCCATCTTGGTTTTCGAAGGTAAATCTTAGAAAGCTTCGTTCAAATAGCTGTATTTCGCTTAAAGTCCACCTCACCCAAACAACGGCGGAGAAGGTCAATTTCGGGATTCCTGTGTGCCTGATCAAAGTCTTGGTGATGACGTAGAAGGAGGAAGTCGTTCGAGACAGATACCTAGAGTCGAGTTGAGTTACTCCATCTACGTCATCAACCCAGGCTCCCTCGCACTCGGCCAAAAATCATGTGGCCGAATTAAATGAGCATAAAAATTATAGAATTTGGAAATTCGAATTTTTTGATGTGAATTTGTGGTTCATAACTCCTAAACTTGTTCTCTAAATAAAAAAAATGGGTGAGGTGGACTTTAATATTAAACGCATTTGAATGAAAATGGTGCGAAATCACATCTAGAATTTTCAAGGAAACGAGTGATCTTTAGTCTTTAAATAAATTAATTGCCACTAGCGAGCTAATCCGGCAATGGGGCGGCCAGCGGTGGCTGGCCTAGAGAACAATGATATTTGTTGAGTCTCAATCTCAAGTATTTTTCTCAAAAAATGGATCGAACGAAATCCTTTGTGAAAATGTTAATCGTGTGTTCAGTGGTAATATTATGTTGTCCTAATCGTCCATTTTTTCATCTTCTTTTCGGCCGTTTTGATATCTTGTGGTAAAAAATAGCATGTATGTTTTTTCAGAAACCTATTTCTGCTATTTATACTATATTTACTTATCTCTGTTTCCTTGTTACGTATACAACATTGAAAACCCGCGATTTTTAGCCCATTTTAAAAGGTTTGCATGAGCCGGATTGTCAGTGGTCTCTTCCTCTAAAATAGCATCTGTGCCTGCTCAGATACTAAAATACAAGATGGCGGACATCAAAACAAAGGTAAAAAAATCCGAACTTTCCAGGGTTTTCACTCAAAAGACTCCAGGATTTCCCAAAAGCCTTGAATCACATCAAGTAATCCACCGGTAGAATTCCCAATTTTGGTATGAAGATAGAGCACGATTGTTGAATGTTCAAAGTGCTCAACCTGATCCAATACACAAATATATGCTCCCCAGGGGTTTACTGTTCTTGCTAGGAAAATTGAAATGATTTTTAGTCTGGCTAGAGTTAATTAAAGGCGCTCAAAGAGCGCTTGTTGTTACTCCAAWTTTTTTATGTCTCAGATAAAAGCTAATATTCATTTTTGATTAGAAGATTAGACTCCATAAATCCTGTAATTTGTCACTTAAGTCTCATCTTGAAATTTTGAATGAGAATATAGTTTTGTTTAAGATTAGACTCCGTAAATTCTGTAATTTGTCACTCAAGTAATTAAGTTTTCTATGAATTGATCAAGCACATGTAAGATTTTTTGCAAAGAAAACCAAACAATATACCAACATGTACATTTTATTACAACTTTTAATGTAAAGTGACAATTGTGTAATCTTAAAATATTTTAGTATAYAGTTTACTTTACAATTCAATGTTTAACTAAAATGTAAAGGAAATGCTCTAAATAGCGTGGTTAAACCCTACCTAGATAATATATTTTCCGTAATTCAACCTAGCCTCGATATTAGCCAATAGCCTACTACTTTGTGGTTTTTGCTAGCTTTAGTAAGAATACGTCCAAAACCCGAATAGTTAGTGTTTTAGTTCAAGTGATCGAGGAGAGACTACACTTATCAAGGTCTGTTATACTGTATCTTTCCCTTTGTTGGATTTGTTGTATCTTTACCTCGGCAAGCGGGACTGCTATGTAAGTACACCTTTATATTAGAACCAGTTTATCGCTAAGTTTATGTGTAAGTTCAATAAGTGATTAGTCTATTAGGCGTGTCTTCTTTGACTCAGTCTTAGTTTTAGTTATATTGTGATTCTTATTCAATCAATGTTATTATGTACTATTATCTTGCATACTTTGTTAGTACTATTATTTAGCTATTTAGTTATGCACAAATT